GGCCACTGCACTCCAGTCTGGGCGACAGAGTGAGACTCCAACTCAAAAAAAAAAACGATGAAGACTTAAGAAAAAGTCACAGTACCTCTTATAATAATCAGAAAGTTCAAAAACAAAAACTAAATTGCTATATAAGAGCTGTCAATGTAAATTAAGATATTATTGAAACATCCAGCAATTACAAAATTCTCCGAATGTCCTTCCCTTATATATGACTGTCTTTTATCTATGTGATTTGCACAAGCTTTTAACTAAAATAATCTAATGTTTTCGGTTACTCCAGCACTCTTAATGTTAATTATAAATATACTATATATTACAATGCCCCTGCCCAATAAAGGCCACAGTCAAGATGACTAAAATGTATGAACAATGAAAATTATTATGCATCTTTAGACTGTCAAGGAACAAACACAAAAAATTCAGCCCCCTTCACCCCTCAGAAAACAACAACAAAAAATGATCTAATCCTAATATCTACCTCTTGGAAAACATTTCATTTTTAGCAACATTGTATACAATGTACATTATTCTTCAGGCATAGAACAAATTGATGCCATATCTGACAATGTTGCCACTGCATAATACACTTCTGGAATTCTCCAGAATCACTCTCAAAATCCAATTTAAACCACATAGAAAAATCTATTTTATTACTTCATAAATACATTTTGGTTTTAGACCCAACACAGCATTAACTTAGTTTGATCAGTTAATCCAGAAGTCTTGGGGCCAAATGAATTTTGGCTATACCCAAAGTCACATGGATGAAATTTTACACACTTAAATTACTCAAAAGAATAAGATGCAGACCCTAAAGTCATTCCACATAAAAAATCTAAAAGTTTTCTGAACAATGGCAACATCAACTGGGGAAGAAAAAGCACAATAAAATTTTTGTCTGCTCTGAGGAAGACAATGATTACTTGGCTTTTATTTTGTTGCTAATAAAGTATCTGTTTTAAGAAAGAAAAAAAAAACTTGCTTTTTGATGTATCCAATGATCCCCACAGTCATAGATTATTGTAAAAATTTCACCATTATCATTTCTCTTTATAAAAAGGAGGGGGAAAATGGAGAAAGGATATGAATCACTTGGATGTGTTAAGAGAATACTGAAATTTTAAGAGTTGGCCTGTTCAGACAATATAACATATGAGTCTAAGTCTCTGTATATCAACATTCCCAAAAGTCAATCACTTAGTGAAATGAGGTGGATTAACTCCTTTGTTTATTCTTAAAAAGGAAGGTGGATAAGACGTTTTCCCCTGTATCTCTGTGTTTTAAATTTTATCAATAGAAAGTTTCACTTTACATTAGGTGATTACAACATTTGAATTTTCTACAGATTTAATTATCTGGGGCACACACCAATGCAATACCAGACTTAAAAATCATTACTTATTCTCCCTTTCCCACATAAACCCAAGGCACTTAGTGATTTATGAGGGTTCTAAATCTCAATTCAGAAAAAGCCTCAGTTCTGACAGATCTTACCCAACCACTATAACTATTCAATTCTAATGTGTCCATAGTCCAACACAGGTGGTTACACTTCTGCCTTTCCTCACTACTTCCTCATCACCTGACCACAAAAGGAAATTTTCAAGCAAGCTACATTCAAGTGTATGTAGTCTTATCAAAGACTTGATTCTGTCTGTATCTTAGAGTACACCTTTCTATTCCTCTAGAGATATCAAATGCATGCAATATACTCCAGGTTGTCTCCGAACACACACACACACACACACACACACACATCACCCAGGTTAAATAAAAGACTAGATAAATGTCTAGTAGCTAAATAAATATCAGCTGACAAAATGGTATAAACAATGTTAGTGTGCATATTTATGAATTCCTACATAAGACAAAAATGTTTTTAAAGATTGTTTTTATCAGAAAGTCCTCATTTTAGAAAAAAATATCAGTCATTAAAATTGTTAGGCCTGGCACAGTGGCCACGGCTATAATCCTATCACTTTGGGATGTGAGAGGAATGTCTGAGCCCAAAGGTTCGAGACCAGCCTGGGCAACTTGGCAAGACCTCATCTCTACAATAAATAAATAAATAAATAGCCAAGCGTGGTGGCATTCACCCGTGGTTCCAGTTACTTGGAAGGCTGAGGTGGAAGGATCACCTAAGCCCAGAAGGTCGAGGCTGCGGTGGCCATGAGCATGCCACTGCACTCCAGCCTATATGATAGAGTGAATCTCCGACTCAAAAAAAAAAAGAAATTTCCTCTCTCTCCCATTCATTTATATCAGTATGGACTCATGGATTCTTATTTTATTGTATATGTCATAATTCCTTACCCTCCTTATTTATTTTGTTACTCAAATTATATCAGATGTGGCCAATGCAAGCCCCTTCAAAGTAGTTCCTGTATCTTTTAACACAGCTCTATCATCTGGGGTAAGTTCCAGCTACTTGGAAGGCTTAGACAGAAGGTCGAGGCTACAGGTGGCCATGAGCATGTCACTGCAGTCCAGTGACAGAGTGAGACTCCAACTCAAAAAAAAAAAATTATGTTGACAAACTTGGGCCGACAAATATATAAATCAAAAATTCTCACCAAAAGAAAACTCATAATCTATCCAAATCACTTATGAGGACTCAAAAGTTCTAGCTCCACCTTTACCTCAATCTTCATCCAATTACCTAACTCCAAAAGTAAAAGTTGTTTCACTAATCAACAATAATTGCTTTAAAGAATTTCATGGTCTTTGCAAAGTTCTTTAGAATTCATTATTTTTGGCCAGACATAGTGGCTCATGCCTGTAATCCCAGCACTCTGGGAGGACGAGGTGAGAGGATTGCCTGAGTCCAGGGATTCAAGACTAGCCTGGGCAACATGGCAAGACCTCATCTCTACAATAAATCAAAAAAAATTAGCGAGGCATGGTGCCATGTGCCTGTAGTTCCAGCTACTAAGAAGGTTGAGGCAGAAGGATCACCTGAGGCCAGTAGGTCAAGGCTGCAGTGGCCGTAAGCATGCCACTGCACTCCAGCCTGGGTGACAGTGTGAGACTCCTATTCAAAAAAAAAAATGTTTTACATAGGTAATACTAATTCTCACCTATATTCCACTTTTCTTTACATGAATTTCTATTCATAATAAATTATTTTTTGTGAAAGGACTTCAATAATTTTACCTTAGATGTGCATAAAACTCAGATTACTGAAATAAAGGAATCAGGATTCTCAGGTTCATGACATAAAAACAAATATGAGCCTTCAAATAATTCCTGACTTTGGTATTTACACAACCTCAAAATCTAAAATATTTTTAACTACAAGTTATCCTTAAAATTCAATTCTATTGAATCTAATAAATAGCATTTTTCTTCTGAAACCATCTAAAACACTCAAAGAGGTCAGGTAGGCACAGTAGTTCATGTCTGTATTCCCAGAACTTTGGGAGGCTAAGGTGAGCCCCAGAGTTCAAGACCAGTCTAGGCAACATAGTGAGACCCCCGTCTCTACAAAAAATTGAAAGAAAAAGCAAAAAATAAAAAATAAAACACTAGAAGACTGTAATTCTAAATGTATAGTATTAAGCCAGGCACAGTAGCTCACACCTGTAATTCTAGCATTTTAGAAGGCCAAGATGGGAAAATCACTTAAGCTCAGGATTTCAAGATCAACCTGGGCAACATAATAAGACTTTATCACTACAAAAAAGTCAAAAAATTAGCCAGGCATGGTGGTGCACACCTGTAGACCTAGCTACTTGGAAGACTGAGATGGGAGGACCTCTTGAGCCTAGAAAGGGGAGGCTGCGATGACCCATGATTGTGCCACTGTATTCCAGCCTAAACAACAAAGTGAGACCCCATGTCAAAAATAAAATAACAATAAAAGTGTAGTGCTTACTCATATTCTTAGTTAAATTATCTCAAAAAGCTTTTTAAAATTGTGTGAACTACTAAACATTATCCTTCTGTCAAAATAGAAAAAGCAAATTTATTAGTATTTATTATTTAAAATTTTTATTCAAAACATACTTAATTGTTTATCTTTTTACAGAAATGGGGGTCTCACTATGTTGCCCAGGATGGTCTTGAACTCCTTGCCTCAAGCAATCCTCCTACCTCAGCCTCCCAAATAGGGGGGATTACAGGCATAGGCTACTATACCTGGTAAAATGTACTTAGTATTTTTTTGAAAAAAGGAATGTCTCACTCTAAGGCACGTAAAGAGAAACATAACTATCTCCTCTTCCCTCCCCTAAGTTTTTGAGGCCTCTTTATATGAAAAACATGATGAAGAACAATGTACATAAAGGCCTTCTGGGCTAACAAGGGAAATCTAGTGTATTACTTACACTTGAATAAGCTGTTAAAATCATCCTAAAGGTCAAATTTTAACACTAAAATGACTTTTTTTTAATTTAAATGAATTTTTATTTTAGAATAGCTTCAGATTTACATAAAAGTTGCAAAGATAGTACAGAGTTCCCATACACCCTAATCTAGTTTTCCCTATTTTTAACATTTCACATTGATATGGTACGCTAGTCACAACTAAGGAAACTGTATTAATACGTTATCATTATCAGCTAAAGGTCATGCTGTACTCACATTTCCTTAGTTTTTACCCAATGTCCTTTTCTGTTCTAAGATCCCATCCAGAATACTATAATCACGTTTAGCCATATCTCCTTAGGCTCCTATTGTCGGTGAGTTTCTTAGACTTTTCTTGTTTTTGATGACCTCGCTGATTTTGAGAAGTACTAGTCAGGTATTTTGTAGAATGTCTCTCTACTAGAATGTGTCTTGTGTTTTTCTTATGATTAGGCAGAGGTTTCGTGTCTTTGAAAAGAACTATTTTTTTTTGCCGGGCTCAGTGGCTCAGCCTGTAATCCCGCGCTTTGGGAGGCCGAGATGAGTGGATTGCCTGAGTCTGCGGGTTCGAGACCTGCCTGGGCAACTTGGTGAGACCTCAACTCTACAATAAAAATTTTTTTAAAAATTAGCCGGGCATGGTAGCGCGTGCCTGTAGTTCCAGCTACTTGGAAGGCTGAGGGAGAAGGATCACCGGAGCCCAGCAGGTCGAGGCTGCGGTGGCCGGGAGTGGCCACTGCACTCCAGTCTCGGTGATAGAGTGAGACTCCAACTCAAAAAAAAAAAAAAAAGTAAAGAACTTTTTTAGGAGCCGAGAACGGTGGCTCAAGCCTGTAATCCCAGCACTTTGAGGGGCCGAGGCAAGAGGACTGCCTGAGCCCAGGGGTTTGAACCCAGTCTGGACAACTTGGTAAGACCTCGTCTCCACAATAAATCAAAAATTTAGCTAGGCATGGTGATGTATGCCTGTAGATCCAGCTACTTGGAAAGCTGAGATGGAAGGACTGCCTGAGCCCAGTAGGTCAAGGCTGCGGTGGCTGTGAGCCTACCACTGTACTCCAGCCTGGGCAACAGAGTAAGACTCCAACTCAAAAAAAAAAAAAAAAAACACCTTTTTTAGGAACATTTATCTAGAAAAAGAAGCCTGATTCACTCATTTAATAAATGCAGGATACAGATTACAACAGGTAGATGAAATCTGAAAGTATAATTAAATGTCAGTACTCATTATAACATCATTATAAAGATCCAGACCTGTTTCATCTCACAGATGTATGAGTGTGGGAAAGAAAAGAAAATGATTCATGTATTTTTCTACTTAGCTTCCAGACAACACAAAATTTAAAACATAAAATGAGTGGTACCTGTTTGGAAAATACGAGTACTGGTAATAAGTACAGACAGACTTCTTAGGGAATACTAAATGTACACTGTTAGACAAAGTCTATATAATCCCAAAGATTTTTTTCGCTAAAGAGTAACAGTATCCAGAATTTACCTACACATATAAAATCAAAATGCTTTTAGACTTGAAAAAGAAATGAAAACAAAAGACTTCCCTTTTATTTTTGTTTATAATCAGCACTTCCACATCGGCAACTAAAAATTTTTTTTTAAAAAACAGAAGCTGCCGGGCTCGGTGGCTCAGCCTGTAATCCCGTGCCTTTGGGAGGCTGAGGTGAGTGGATTGCCTGAGTCCGCGGGTTCGAGACCCGCCTGGGCAGCGAGACCTCATCTCTACAATAAATCAAAAAATCAGCCGGGCGTGGTAGCGCATGCCTGTAATTTCAGCTACTCGGAAGGCTGAGGCGAAAGGATCACCGGAGCCCGGCAGGTCAAGGCTGCGGTGGCCGGGAGTGGCCACTGCACTCCAGTCTGGCCGACAGAGAGAGACTCCAACTCAAAAAAAAAAAAAAAATGTAGGGGGAAGGGGGAAAAAAAGAAAATTTATAAAAAACAGAAGCTAAAAGTTCTGATTTCAATGCTTAAATCTTTTTTCAACGTGTGTGTGCCTATCCTATCTAAATTAAATTATTACCATTTACTACTTTTAAACTGACTAAAATTAAGCTTCCCTGATAGAGACTGCATTAGCTATTAGCAGGAAAATTTTAAAAAAAGAAAAGAAAAAGTTTCCCTGATACACATTGAGCTTCACACAGACAAATTTAAGTAGAAGACGAGAGATGAAAAGATTTCTTCAAAAACTAAAGTTTCAGCCGGGCTTGGTGGCTCAGCCTGTAATCCCACGCCTTTGAGAGGCTGAGGTGAGTGGATTGCCTGAGCCCGCGGGTTCGAGACCTGCCTGGGCAGCAAGACCTCATCTCTACAATAAATCAAAAAATCAGCCAGGTGTGGTAGTGCATGCCTGTAATCCCGGCTACTTGGAAGGCTGAGGCGGAAGGATGACCAGAGCCCAGCAGGTCGAAGCTGCAGTGGCCGGGAACGGCCACTGCGCTACAGTCTGGGCGACAGAGTGAGACTCCAACTCAAAAAAATAAATAAATAAAATAAAACATTAAAAAAAATAAAAAATAAAGTTTCCCAAAAAAACTGAAGTTTCAGCTGGGCTCGGTGGCTCAGCCTGTAATCCCACACCTTTGGGAAGCTGAGGTGAGTGGATTGCCTGAGCCCGCGGGTTCAAGACCCGCCTGGGCAGCAAAACCTCATCTCTACAATAAATAAAAAATCAGCCGGGTGTGGTAACGCATGCCTGTAATTCCGGCTACTCGGAAGGCTGAGGAGGAAGGATCGCCGGAGCCCAGCTGGTCAAGGCTGCGGTGGCCGGAAGCGGCCACTGCACTCCAGTCTGGGCAACAGAGTGAGACTCCAACTCAAAAAAAAAAAAAAAAAAAAAAAATAACCTGAAGTTTCATTATAAATATATATATTTAGATTGTAAATTAGAGAGAGGGAGAGAAAAGATTCACCTACCTAAAGCGGGGGAGGGGGCCAAAGCCAGGAAAACATGGCAGCCATTGCTCAAAGAACATATGGCCTGGCCAGGCTTAACAAAACAATGGACTATTATATTTTAGCGTATCACTTCAAGTAGAATATTTAATCATCTTAGAAAAGGAAGACTTTTATTTTCATATAAAAAATATAATTCTAACCATGTGCTATTTAAATTTTCAAGACAAACGTTTACATATTCAAGACCTATCAAAATTAAGAGTAGTTTCTTATACATACATTGTATCTTACACATACCTTATATCTTTAAAAAACAAATATATTTTATAATATGTTTAGAAAAAATAAAATTATATATAAAAATTATAAAATAAGCTTAATACAATTTATAAGTATTTATAAGATACTAGTTGTTTTACAAATTAAGAAAATTAGCATTAATTATCAGCCCTGAATCACATCAAATAATCCATGAAAAAACAATTAATGAGTTCTCCTTTCTCACCTGGCCTGTCCAGTTGATATGTTCCATTCCTCTCGCTGACCAGTACTTCGTGATTTTGATTTGTCTTTGCAAACAGAATCAGGTTGTTTCAAAGTGCGTTTGGCTGGAGGAGATACGTGGCTATCACTTAAACTACCATCAACTTCAGCTTTCTGAAAGACACCATTAAAAGTGTACTTATTATTTCCATTAAGACAAATAGCTTTTTTTTTTTTGAATCAGAGTTTCAATCTGTCATCCAGGCAGGAGTGCAGTGGCACACTCACAGCCATCACAGCCTCAAACTGCTGAACTCAGGTGATCCTTCCATATCAGCCTTCCAAGTAGCTGGAACTACAGGCGTGCGCCACCACACCCAGCTAACTTTTTGATTTATTGTAGAGATGAGGTCTTGCCAAGTTGCCCAGGCTGGTCTCGAACCTGTAGGCTCAGGCAATCCTCTTGTTTCTGCCTCCAAAGTGCTGGGATTACAGGCTGAGCCACCGAGCCCGGCTGGGTTATTTGGTTTTTATTTTTCCTTTCTGCTCATTTGAGTTCCTTGTAGATCCTGGATGTTAGGCCTTTGTCAGATATATAATCAGCAAATATTTTTTCCCATTCTGTGGGTTGTCTCTCCACTCTCTTGATAGTTTCTTTTGCTGTGCAAAAGTTTTTCCAGTTTGATGAAGTCTCACTTGTCTATCTTAGCTTTTATGGCACCTGGTGTGATCCAGCAATCCCTCTCCTGAGAATACACCCAGAAGAACATAAATTATTCCACAAAAAAGACACCTGCACATGTATGTTTATAGCCACACTATTCACAATAGCAAAGACATGGAACCAACCCTACTGCTCACTGAAAGTGATCTGGATAAAGAAAATGTGGTACATATACATGATAGAGTATTACGCAGTCATAAAGAATAATAAAATCACGAACGCTGCAGCAAATTGGATAGAGTTGGAGACCACCATACTTAGAGAAGCAGGTGGAGGCCCAAACTTCACCTGCATGCAGCCTACTTGTGTAGTTAATCCTGACTTGTACCCCAAATCTCTATAAAAAATAAGTAATTCATTATAAAGTGGGCAAAAGATATGAACAGACACTTCTCAAAGGAAGACATCTGAGCAGCCAACAGACACATGAAGAAATGTTCAGCCTCACTAATCATCAAGGAGATGCAAATCAAAACCACACTGAGATACTACGTAACTCCAGTCAGAATGGCAATTATCAATAACTCAAAAATAATAGTTGCTGGAGAAGGTGTGGTGAAAAGGCAACACTCCTACACTGTTGGTGGGAGTGCAAACTAGTAGAACCTCTGTGGAAAACAGTGTGGCGATTTGTAAAAGTTCTAAATATCGACCTCCCATATGATCCCGTAAATCCCCCTACTGGGAATATACCTTGAAGAACTCAAATCACTCTATCAAAAAGATACCTGCACACGTATGTTTATCGCAGCATTGTTCACAATAGCAAGAACCTGGAACCAACCATGCTACCCATCAAAAAGGACTGGATTAAAAAAATGTGGTACATATACACGATGGAATACTAGGCAGCCATAAAAAAAAAACAAAATCATGAATTTCGCAGCAACCTGGATGGAACTAGAGTCTATAATACTGAGTGACCTCTCACAGAAACAAAGATCTGAGTATCACATGTTCTCACTCATATAGTGAATCTTGATCATGCAATGCACTACCATAAGAAAATGACTGACAGTGGTGGGGGAAACTATGAGGGGGAGGGGAAGGGGGGTGTGACTAATGGTAGTAAACATCTGTCTGGGGACAGGGAGACACCTGTTATCAACAAGGGGGCCTAATTGAAGTATATTTGTATACCTAACTCTTAACTCTACCCCACAACATCATAATAAAAAATATTGATTAAAAAAATAATAAATAAATAAAAATTTTTAAAAAGAGATAAGATAGACAAGTGGGATCTTATTAAACTAACAAGCTTTTGCAAAGTCAAAGAAACCATCAAGAGAGCAGGGAGACAGCCTACGGACTGGGAAAAAGTATTTGCCAACTCCAGGTCTGACAAAAGGTTAACATCTTGGACCTACAAGGAACTG